AGGTGTTTTGGGTTTGCTGGGGTTTTTTTTTAGTGTTGCAATTTTCTGTATACTTTTCTGTGTTGAATCATTTTGTTTATGGCTTTTATTATAATTTCTTTTGTTGCTGTTGTTTTAGTTCTTCATGATATTTTTCTTTTGCTTTTGCTAAGAAAGATTATTAATTTTCTTTGAAATTACTTGGTAAATTACTATTGGATTTCCAAGTTTAGAATAGCTCACTCTCCCTTGAAATTATCTTAACTTCCTCTCCATTTGAATGTTCTGGAACTACACTATTCATTTCCTCCCCGTGGTTTGTACTTGTCTCCATTTATTAACTGCAATCTCCTATCTTATTTTTAGTCTTCTAAATTTCTTTTATTTTATCTACTTTTATCTTTGCTTGAGTTGGTTCTGGACGATGTTGTTGTCACATGTGCTAACTTTATGTTGATATCTAACATTGTTGCCTCTGTCTGAAGAACTTCATTTAGTATTTCTTGTAGGATGGACCTTGTTTTTACAAATAACCTTCATTTATGTTTATCTGGATATGTTCTTCTTTCATTGACATATCTAAGGGACAATTTTTCTCAGTATATAATTCATGCTAGGGTTGTGTTTTTTCCTTTCAGAGTTGTATACATGTCACCCCATTGTATTCTTCCTGCATGGTTTCTCCAAGAAATAGGAACATAATGGTTCTATTTGTAGGTAACTCTGTTTTACCCAAACTGGTTAGTTTTCTTGCTTTGTATTTTGTTTAGGGCAGTTTTATTATGTCACATTGATTTTCTTTAGAGGTATATCCTATTTGGGGTTCATTGAACTTCTGTAAGAGTTATTATATTTCATCATGTTAGAGAAGCTTTCTTCTAGCAACTTTTTAAGGTTTTTTTTCCTGTGTCTCTTCCTATTCTACAATTCCCATCACAGGTAAGTTATTTCTCTTGATAACGTCCTACATGATTCTTATTGCTGTTGTGTTTAAGTGCTGTCGATCTGAACACAACTCATAGCAACCCCATGAACAACAGATCTCTGAGAACTCTGATAGAACTCTGTCCTATCCTGTGCAATCCTTATTATCATCCACACATTTTAGTCCATTGCTGCCAACACTGTATCAAATTTATCTCATTGCGGTTCTTCTTCTCCTTCATTAAGTCTCCTACTTTCCAAGTATGATATCATATTCCAAGGAATAACCTCTTCTAACAACATATCTAAAATATTTTACATGAAGCTTCATCAACTTTGCCTTCAATGAATATTCTGGTTGTACTTTCTCCAATACATATTTGTTTGTTCTTTTGGCAGTGCATGGGATATTCTGCAATACAACTGAAATACATCAATTCTTCTTCTGTCATACTTAGTAACTGTCTAGCTATTGGATGCATAATAGGTAATATTGTGGCTTTAAACAGGTACACTTCAGTCTTTAGATTTATATCAATGCTCTTCAGGACTCTGAAGAGATCCCAGACAGTGGACTTTCCCAATGATAGATATCTCCTGGTATCCTTACTGCTGGTATGAAACATGGTTATTATGGATCCAAGCAAGAAAAATTCACTGAGAGTTTCAATCTTTTTCTTTTTAATCTATCATGATGTTGCCTAATGGTCCGATTGAGAACGTTTTTGTTTTCTTAATATTGAGATCCACACAGTAAAATGCCTTTGCATAATCAATGAAATTTAAATAGACATTCCTCTGGTATTCCCTGCTTTCAGCTAAAATCCATCTAACATTAGATACAATATCCCTAGTACCATGACCCCTTCTAAACCCAGCCAGCACATCTGGCTGTTCTCTGTTGATGTGCTATTCCAGTCATTTTTGGATAATCTTCAACAGAATCTTGCTTGCATGTGATATCAATGATATTGTTCAATAAGTTCCACACTGTTGGACCTCCTTTCTTTGGAATGGAAACAAATATAGATCTCTTCAGTCATCTGGCTAAGTGGTTGTCGTCCAGGTTTCTTGACACAACTTGGTAAGCACATCTTGATTATACAAAGTCATTTGACTGTGTGGATCAAAACAAACTGTGGCTGACTCTGAGAAGAAAGGGAATCCCAGAGCACTTGATCATGCTAATGCGAAACCTATACTTGGATCAGGAGGCAGTCATCAGAATAGGACAAAGAAACAATGCATGGTTCAAAATTGGGAAGGGTGTACGCTAGGAATGTGTCCTATGTCCACACCTTTTCAATCGATATGCAGAACAGATTATTCAGGAGGCTGGGCTGTATGAGGAGAAGTGTGGCATCAGGATTGGAGGAAGATTCATCAACAATCTGCATTTTGCAGATGGCATTGAGGAGGACCAGAAGTGCTTGCTGCAGAAAGTCAAGGACTGCAGCCTTCAATATGGATTGAGGCTCAACATCAAGAAAACAAAGATTCTCACCACTGGGCCAATTGGCAGTTGATGGTGGAGAGA